AATATATACATTATATAGTATATATATATACATACACATGTGTGGATAGATAAATAAGAATAGGTGATATCAATATAGATGCTATGTATATGTAGCTCTGCAGATAGATCCAAAGATAGGTAGGTAGATAGATCCATAGATCCATATGTAGATCCATAGAGAATCTCCATAGGATCAGAATGTGGAATTTATGAGCCAAACAACCTGCCTTCACTTGGGTAGAGATTGGAAAGATATTGGCAAATTGTAATTGAACTTGGGGAAAAAGAGTAGCTTTTACCCTGGGCCCTCAATACAAAAGACCCCACTTGAGCCTCTTCTCCATACTCACAGGATCAGAAGCCTGAGGGCCAAGAGTCTGAGCTTTTGTACCCCACCCAGTCCAAGACGATGCTCAATGTCTATATAAAATAAAAAGTCTAGGGCCTCCCCGGTGGCGCAGCGGTTGAGCGTTGGGTTGCGAAGCTGCCCGCGGCCTCTGCAGTGCCAGTTTGATCCCCGGCTGCTCCCCGGCCACTGGAGGAGGGTCCCACATGGTGCGCAGACCTCTCCTGCCGCCCGCTGCTCCCCTCAGCAGTGTACTTCGGTCCTTCTGCCTGCTCTGCTCCCTGCTCTGGCTCTGGTGAATTCTCTCACCCTCCTGCGCTTCTGACTGTACCCAGTGCATGTATAAACAAAAACAAACAAATAAATAAATAAAACATGCCTCTAAAAAAAATCAATAAATAAATAAAATAAAAAGTCTAACATTTCCTAGATCTATCCTCCTGCCACTAGGTCTATCCTCTGCCACTTTCACACACACCACATCTCCCAATGTGCCAAGGGGAGGAGCATGCTTGTGGGGTGTATGAAACCCCTCTTGTTGCAGCTGGAGCAAGTGTGGGGGAAAATGGGGTAGGGTGATGTGCTGCCATGAGCTGATGACTATAAGGTACAGATCATCTTCCTATTCTTTCCTTCCTAACCACTTTTTTCTTAGATGTATGAATATCTAACACTTTTTGTAGCTATTAATATCTAACATTTTTTCTTAGCTATATATTTTTTAGATATATTAATATATGACTCATCTTGTTTTCTATTTACTACTGTATCTCCAGTTTCTAGAATAGTGCTGGTACATAATAGATGCCAAGTGTATGTTTATTAATTAGAGAATAGATACTATGACAGTTAATCCATTTTAAAGATAAGCAATGATGATATCACTTTAGGAACACAAGGTATTATGACAAAATTATAGTTCAACTTGTGTAGTAGAAAATTATTCATAACATTTGCATTTTACAAATAGGTGCTAGGTGTCATATCGATCTGGTCCCAAGTTAATTTTAAATTTATTTTTAGAGAAGAGAGATTATTTCCCTTTAAGTCTGATAAGCTTAAAGGAGATTCTGTAAGAAATGGCAGACTCCAGAATAAGACTGAAGGAAAGAGGGAGATTCCATTTCTCACCCAAATGAAGTGCACTAGACCTTGTAAGGTCAGTCAGAGAAGTCCCAGATGCTTCTGCCAGCTCCCTATTATACATTTCCCTATATGAACTGATGAGCAGATAAGTCCAAAAAGGCTGTTTTGCAGGAACTGTACCACCTTGGGCAATGAGCATGAGTAGTGGTATTTCACCAGATCTTGGATGTGGAGACAGAGATACAATTCATGGGGAATGGAGAAAAAGAATATTTGCATCACCTCCTTAAGGTCAGTTAGGTAACAAACTAACCTCCTTAAATAGAAAAATATTTCCCTTTTTGCATATAAGTCATTGTCTCCTTTAGATATTATTAGGAATTGGATTAAGAAAGGAGCTAGTGGATGAAAAGGAGCCGTAGAATTATAGTCTTGTGGGACTTTTTCCAGTTTCGTTCAAAAAATTTTTTTTAAAGATTTATTTATTTATTTATTTATACAAGCACTGGGTACAGTCAGAAGTGCAGGAGGGTGAGAGGATTCACCAGAGCCAGAGCGGGGAACAGAACAGGCAGACTGACAAAGTACACTGCTGAGGGGAGCAGCAGGCGCAGAAGGAGAGGTTGGCATGCCATGTGGGACCCTCGCCCATGACTGGGGATCAAACTGTCACTGCAGAGTCTGCAGGCAGTCTCACAGCCCAGCGCTCAGCCGCTGCGCCACCAGGGGAGGCCCCCTTTCAAAATTTCTTATGAGACACAATAGTTTTCATCTTTACTTGGCTTTGTCATGGACGCATTCTAAATGTCATTTTATCCATTAAAATATTTTCCTCTGGTAAACATGTTCTAGATGAATCTGACTAATGGTGAATAGTACATGTCACTTTTTTCTATAGTGTGGAAGCAAGATGAAATTTTTTTTAATTAAATTTGGTCAAAAAGCTAGGATCAGACTTCATTCAAATATAGACAATCTTTCAAGAAAAGACAATCTTTCAACAGAACTCTCAAAGTATTGAATGACTTACATATGTTGCTTTCTACTGATGCACACCTGAAATCTATATAATGTTATCCCATATTAGTTCAGTAAAAAAAAAAAAAATTGAATGACTGTGAGATTCATCTTTACAGTTGTGTAAAACAATAGTTCATTCATTCCCATTCAGCTGAATGAATGAACTGTAGCTTATTTATCCATTCTTCTTTTGATGGGCATTTGGTGTTTTCAATTTAGAGCTATTATGAATAGCTCTGCCTTGGATATTTTAACATGCCTTTTAGTTCACATATGTACCCATTTAGGTTTGGTATATGCCTGGGAGAGAGTGCCATTTCTGGGTCATAGGGTGAACTTTTATTCATCACTAGTGGATAATAACAAACAGTTTTCCAAAAATTTTGCAGCATATTCACTGTCACAAAGAGTATAGAAGGATGAAAGAATATAGGCACAAAAGAGTGCATACTGTATGATTCTATTTATATAAAATTCAAAACCAGGCAAAACTAATTGATGCTGACAGAATTTGGGATCATGGTTACCTCCTGGAATGAAGTGACTAGTAGGGGACCTGAAGGGAGTTCCTGGGATGCTGTTTATGAGCTATCTCTTGGTAGTTTAAAGGGGTAGTTCATTGCAATTGCAGTGAATAGAATATACTACCTAAGAATAAATTTAACCCAGCAGGTAGAGACATACATTTGAAAATTATGAGACATTGATAAAAGAAATTGAAAAAGATAAAAATAAATGGGAAGATGTTCAGTGCTTATGGAACTCTTGGGTGAATTAATATTGTTGAAATGTCCATAGTACCCAAAGCAATCTGCAGATTCAACACAATTCCTATCAAAATTCAAATGGCATTTTTCATAAAAACAGAACAAACAATCGTAAAATTTGTGGAACTACAAAAGACTCTGGGAAGCCAAAGCAGTTTTAAGAAAGAACAAAGTTGGAGGCATCATGCTTACTGATATCAAACTATATTACAAAGCTATAGTGCTCAATACAGTATGGTACTAGAATAAAATCAGACATAGAGATCAATGAAACAGCATAGTGAGCCTAGAAATAAGCCCACACACATATGGTCAGTTAGTTTACAATAAAAAGCCAAGAATATACAATCAGGAAAGGACAATGTCTTTAATAAATAATGTTAAGAAAACTGGAAGGCCTCATGCAAAAAAATGAAACTGATCACTATCCTACATAATACACCAAAAATAACTAAAAATAGATTAAAGAATTGAACGTATGACCAGAATCCACAAAAGTCCTACAAGGAAACATAAGCAGTAAGCTCTTAGACATCAATCTTAGTGATGAGTTTTTGGATTTGATACCAAAAAGCAAAAACAATAAAAGCAAAAATAAACAAGTGGGACTATATAAAACTCAAAACCTTCTGTGGAGCAAAGGAAACCATCAACAAATTAAAAAACAACCTATAAAATGTGAGAAAATATTTGTAAATCATTTATCCAAAAATGTTCATACCCAAAATATATTAAAATTCTTCATCCAGTTTAACAGCAAACAAACCACCAAACCAATTTAAAAATATGCAAAGGATCTAAATAGACTTTTTTTTATCAAATTAGTCTACAGTAAGCCAACAAGAACATAGAAAGATGCTCAACGTAATTCATATTTGTCTATCACTTCCCCATGTGTGAGAATGTGGAGTAAAGGGAACTTGCACACATTGTTAATAGTAATGTAAGTAGGCACAGTCATTATGAAAAACATTATGCATGTCCCTCAAAAATGTAAAATATAACTACCCATGATCCAACAATACCTACTTCTAGGTATTTATCTGAAGGAAACAAAATACTAACTCAAAAAGATATCTGTATCTCGCTGTTCATTTACACATTATTGACCATAGCCAAAGCATGGGAATAGCCTAAGTGTCCATGGATAAAGAGTTGTGCTATATGGATATGGATATAGAGATGTGAAATAGGTATGAATACATGTATATTATTCAGCTATGAAATTTAGTAAAATCTGCCATTTTGAGACAACATGCATCAATCTTCAGGGCATTATACTAAATTAAATAAATTAGACAGAGAAAGGCCATATGATCTCACCTATATGTAAAATCTAAAAGAAAAAAAAAAGCCTGAAGAACAAAAATGGTCTCATAGATACAGAGGACAGGTTAGTGGTTGCCAGAAGTGGGGAGTGAAGGGTGAGCAAAATCAGTAAAGGCGATCCAGTGGTTTAAACTCGGTTATGGAACAGATGTCATAGGGTGTCATAGGCGGCATGATGACAGTAGCTAATAAGTGCTTGAAAATTGTTAAGAGAGAAGTTGTTAAAAGTTGTTAAAAGATCTCATCACAAGAAAAGATTATGCAACTATAACTCTGTGGTATGGATGCTAACTAGACTTACAGTACTGGTCATTTTATGACATATACTTACATCAAATTACTTTACTTTGCTCCTGATACTAATATAATGTGATGTCAATTATACCCAATAAATAAAATTTTAAAAATAGACAGATTTTGAGGCATTTTATAATAATCTTTGGAGCATTGTTATTATCAAGAATAACAACATGTCCCTGTCCTGAGTAGAGTGGCCTCTGTTTGGCAGAGCTGATCGCTTATCAGTCAGGGACAAAGCAACCACTTGTGCTTCCCAACTTGGGTTTTGATCTCTGCCCAAGCCTGGTTTATGCCCTGGACAAGTGGTTGAAAAAGATAAAGGAAAAAAGAACAGCAAAAAAGACATGAAGACCAAGGAGCTCAGCTTTTGAACATTCATCAAGCTATATATTTATTTGTAAAAATTTCTGTATTCATGTTGTATCTTAGAAAAAAACATTTTAAAATATTTCTATTAAATAAACTGCTTGCAGGCAAATGAAATTTTCCCTCATTAGAAATATTCTAAGCATAAGCCAAAGAGTTGGCGGGAGATTTAAACATTTTTTAGGAGACTGGAAGAAACGACTCTTGGATCTTCTTTTTTTTTTTTTTTGAAGATTTATTTATTTATATAAGAACCGGGGTGCAGTCCAGATGCACGGGAGGGTGAGAGTATTCACCAGGGACAGAGCGGGGAGCAGAGCAGGCAGACTGATGAAATACACTGCTGAGGGGAGCAGCAGGCGAGACAGGAGAGGTCTGCTGCGCCATGTGGGACCCTCACTGGCCGGCGGGTATTGAACCAGCGCTGCAGAGACAGTGGACAGCTTCATAGCGCTGTGCTCAACAGCCTGCACCACCAGGGGAGGCCCCTTGGATCTTCTTTTACATTTATATTTTGTAATTTTTTGAGGTAGGCTAAAGTTTTCCAGGATCTTCCTTTATCCTTCATGTTACTTGGTTTCATGACCTCCAACATCATTCTGACCAGTCTCTTCTGCAGGCAGTCTCCAGGAACAGGACTTTTAGCTTTTGGCTCTCCTTGCCACACAGCATCCTATGATTTTATGGAGTTTCATTGAGGTATTTGTGGTGCAGCTGCTGTGGGTCTTTTGTCAGTAGCAGGAAAGCAACAGCCCATCCATCCTTCATGTGATGTTCCTTTCCCTTGTTTCCCCTGTTGTGCCAGCTGTTCAATGTGTTGGGGTGCGGTTGACATGTTGTTTGCTATTTCAGTCCTTTTGGTTTTGTGCATGTGAAGAGAATACTAATAGAAACAAAACCAAGTGAAAAGGAAAGGAGATGGAGCACACATTCTGGCAGGAAAAGATTCCTTTCTTTTAAAGTGAAGCTGGTAGTAATTTGATGGAGGAAGCCACAGCAGAGAAGCCAAGGAACTTTCCCATAGAGTGAATCTGCAGTGAGAAATTGTGTCACACGGTATCATTTCTCCAGAGGCCTTGGTAAAATCCTAATAGGGACTTCCACCAAATTTTAAAAACTTGCTTGGAAGCTACTAAAGAAAATTAAATTATAAACTCTCTGTGTTAAACAAAGAGTGCAGGAATCTTCCTGAAGAGATAAAAAGCAACTTACATCTTTATATGCAGGTTGGGCTTAAAGATGTTAATAAAACCAAAAAAAGAAAAAAAGTAAAAAATTAGAGACCTGTTACTGTTCTGCAAAATTTTTCAGGCCCATAAGGAGACCATGTTGGGCACAAAGGGCTTCTCTGTGAATACTTGGCACTTAGCTCCTGCTTATAAATACTGTTGACCATTATACCTTTTCTTCTGGGAGCCTTCCTATATCCATACAATTGTCCTTTTGCTCCTAAATGAATTTCTGTCACTTATAACCCCAGGAGTACTAGTAGTCAAATTGGCAAGTGCAGTAAAACAACTGAGCCTTGATCATACGAAACTGACTCGAAGGTTGGAAGCAGAGAGCATTTTCTCATTCCAAAATGAAAAATTACATTTTTGGTAATGATTACCTGATTTCTTTCTTGGGATCAGATAATGAGCTCTCTGGGACTGACCATGGTAAAATTTTGTATAAATTGTTAGATTACCAGAGATTATTGAATATTCCTGGTGGCATCGATCAGCATATTTCAAAAGCGTAAGATGTTCCCATTTAAGGTTACTTTGGTGTGATAACTTTAAACAGACCTTAGGAAGCTGGGTAATTTCTTGGATTTGTTGTTCAGTCTAGATTAAATCACAGGATTTCCAATATTGTTGAATAGCAGAGTGTCCAAAACAATGATCTTGAACAAGAGCCACTTAAATTCTTAGGGTAGTTGTAAGATCAGTAGAGTTCCCAGTCCTGAGAAAAAAGAAGACTGTTTCTTAAACTAAGACAGTAACCAAAATCATCACCAAGAGAATAGAACAATGAAATTAGGAGGACAACAGGACGTTCTGCAATGTCTCTTTCATGACTGGCTCTGAAAAACATAGGGGAAAACTTCCTAGGAATCTCATGTTGGTGATCTATACAGACCAATTATGGGTTTCAGTCTACTATCAGAGCAATTTGTGACTCATCCAGTGTCATTCTTGCTATCAACATCTGTAAGTGTTGAAGGTGTGGTGCATCCCTTTCTAATTTTTTTAAATGGCAACTTTTAATGCCGCTACCTTTCTTCACCCCACCCCATCATTATATATTGGGGGAGGATGCTACATCCATGTATTTTATGTTTTCTTCAAGAGTTAAATCTGGATCTGAATGAGCCATCTGGAGAAGGCATCCTGGGTTGTTGAACTCAGAATGATTATATCACTTCTGGAATATTAACAGGATGCAATCTGGAGTTGTCTTATTATTTGTTAGGTTGAGTAGACTTGGGGTTCTGTATGGATCGGGTGAATCAAATGAAGCAAGAACTCATTAAGAATTTGGGTATGAAAAGAAAAAATGTATATATTAGAGGCTGTCATGTATGATGAAATGAAGCATAAAAGTCAAGCATAAGATCTTAATGATCCTCCAAAGGAAAAAGCATTGAATACAGAGCAAGAAAACTGAAGTTGAAATTTTTACTTTGTCAATATATTCAACTTAGGACAAGTGATTTTCTTCTCCCTGGACCTCAGTTTATTCATATGTAAAATTGAAGATTTGGTACTAAAATCTTCTCCCCCAGTGTGTTTTCTATGGAATTTTAATGAGCATCATGGGGGGTGGAGAATGAGGAGATGAGTCAGATCTAGTTCACCAAAGATTCTTTGCAATAAGACTTCTCAGAACACTTAATATAATGTGGTACATCGTAAATCTTCTAGAAGGACTTAACTATGCAATATTTCTTAAATTTCTTTGCTATCAGACCTTATTTTCTCCATGGAGCCTTTCACAGGGCAATGTTTCCATAAACATATTTTGAGAAATGTGTGGGGTAAGATCTGTGAGACCCTCTGCTGATCCAAGGTGGCGTGGAAGCCAGGCTCCTGGCTGGCATTCACCAACTTGCAGCACAGCCCTGTGGGAAGAGAGCATTTGCTGCTGCCTACATAGTTTGAAGACAGCCCCCCACTTCAGTCAGAAATCTTGTGAGGCACCCAGATGTGTTGCTTGCTCAGTGCCAAACGGGCGGCTTGACTGGATTTTTGCTCAAATCAGGCGAGCCTGTTGGCATTAAATAGACACAGAGAGAGTGCATTCCTGAGCCCCTTTCCATTAGCCACGCAGCAGCTGCAGCCCACGGCTGAACTGTTCCTCATCTGAACTGGGCACGTGTCCAGCAGCACTGAAGGACATAGGAGGGAAGAGGGGGTAATGCATTACTCCCACTTAGGCTCTTAAGGACAAGGTACTACCCTTCCTTCACTAAAGAAACCCTATAGCGTATACCCAGGATTCCAACGTTTGGAAGTTCAACCCTTCTAGCTACTCACTGGGTACTTCTTTCTACCATTGTGCCAAATTCTTATCATTTCCATCAATAAGAAACATACTAACTACAAAGCAACACTGTCATAAAGAACTAATAGGAAGAAAAAGATCTTATGTTGGTTTAAAATGTAACTCCTCACAGATTTCTTCTTTTGATTTAATTCTACTCTCTGGTTCCTGCAGTATGGACTAAACCCTTCTTGCATGATAGTTCTGAATCTGAAGCTGGAGCACTTTGAGGGTGTGAAGATGAGATAAAGTATCAGCGGACTTTTTTGAAACTCTACAGTGCCTTAGCAGGCCAATAGAAAACAGTTTTTATAGCCTCTTTATACCATCTTCCTGTTTCAAAGTTTTTGTTCATTTTTGCCAAGGTCACTGGATAAATTGGTATTAAAAGAACATCTGTATAGACAATGTATGCCTTCATGATGCTTTCTTAGCGTAGGAGTAAATATTGTAATTGACATTGAGAAGCAAGATAAAAATCCCCTAATATATATGCAGCAGCTGAAGTAAGACCAAGCTTGGGCAGTGAATTATTGTTTGAAGGTAAACCCTATAATGAGCTCTGTAATGGTCAGTGGGTGAGGCTCTCAGAGGAGAGACCTCGCAGGGATTTGACAGAGGGTACTGTCTGATCTGTCGCCAAGTTGGTCACAGATATCGATTACAGTAAATTCTACAAGATATGCATATCATTAACTTAGTAACATAATATTTTGGTCTCTGTGGTGTTTCTTTTGAGTGTATAAATGTAGTTAGCATGTGTTTCTGCCAGTAAGAGAGTTTTTTTTAGGTGAATCATCATAAAAGTTGAGGGGAATAAAGAACTTTCAAATATTTTAATTACAGAAGCTGGACCATGCATTAATCAATCCTTTTGAAGTTTTTCATGAGTCATTTTATACCTTAATGCACTTAAAATAAGAAACATTTAAATACTTTTACATTTAGGAGTTGCTCATTTGACTAAATCTCTTCTTAAGGTCCAAAAGTGCCAACAAAATAGCAAGTTAAAAATTGCTAGAATCCTTGGTTTAATGGATATTTCTATTCTCCTGTTCAAAGGAGAATTCATTGTAGTTTGAGTATATTCTGAGGATAACTTGGGCCATATGATTTTTCTTTCCATTTTAGTCATTTTAAGAGATCATTTTTATGGCATCATTTGTGTTATCTCAGAACAAAACACTTTTTATTAACTTAACTATTGGAATTTGCCTTTTCTTGGACTGTTTTCTCACTAATACATTTTACACAAATAATCTTTGTCATAGCATTTCACATACTTTATTTATTTTGAAAATAAAAACCTCCCATCCTTTTTGTCTTCTTAATTTTTTTCTTAGAAACTGTATTTTTTTTTTGCTGGCATAACGCTGAAAATACTACTTAAAAATACCAAGAGCTGGGCCTCC